GGAGGTTTAGCAAAAAACACTCCATAGGATTCTTCCGCCTATAGGCCTTTCCGGCTAAATAATAAGTGAAATTCTAAAATGTGTTTTAAGTTAAGTCCAAATCACTAAATATTGCAATGCCACATTAGTAGTCATTCCAAATTTTAAGCGCACTTCAAAATTACTAAGGAGGTTTGGGAGATTCGGTTAGTGTAGTTGACCAAACTGTGAAAAAACCCGCAACATTCGGATCGCGGGTTCGAATCCCGCCGAATGCCGCGAGTTTTTTTCACATTTGGGTCGACTAAATTAACTAAATCTCCCAAACCTCTTTAATAATTTTGAAATGCGTTTTAAATTTGGAATTACTACTAATTTGGCATTGCAATATTTAGTGATTTGGACTTAACTTAAAACACATTTTAGAATTTTACTTATTATTTAGCCGGAAAGGCCTATAGGCAGAAGAATCCTATGGAGTGTTTTTTGTCTTGTGGAAAGGAGGGGGCGGACGGCAACAGATAACTCATTAATTTCATTCAGAGAAAGTACGTGAAAATGGGCTTGAAAGTGAAACGTACTTTGTGATAAACTGTTGTAAAGAAACAGAGTCTGACCCGCGATGCGAATGACCCCCGACTTCTCCAGACCAACGCCACTGATACAAGGCGCCGCCGTCGTCGAGTCCTCGGACTTGAGACGAGAGCTGGCCGACGTAGCTGATGGCGCATCCAAGGGTACGGGTAGGGCGTGCATCAGCTGAGAGAGAATATTGCTCTCCCTGTTTCGACGTACTTTGGCTGCTAGGCGAGATTTCTCCTTGCGTCGCAGAGCCCGAACTTCTCGCGGGCTAAGCGCAGTCTGCCTTGATGATGCGCAGTCGGCGGCAGCAGGCAGGGTCCCATCTTAAAAGTAAACAACACTACTTATTTTAAGTTAGTAGTAACCACAGGTAATCGTACAAATCAGCCACATATAATCCGACCTAGGCTGAATTACATGACTGACAAGGACAAGAGGCTGGAATGGCCATTTCTGGCTCATTTATCGTCATCAGCCAGCCATACTTAACCTGAAGTGGTGGCCCACCCTGTCAGTTATATGTCCAACGCTCTAACCACTGCGCTATGGGCAGGGAGGAAGGCATCACGTCCGTTAATCATCCGCTGGTCTAAGATCCAAGACTCAAGCTGTTCGCTGCAGCGGTTTTCACCACCAAGGAGAATGTCGGCCTTGAGTCCGTGGACAGGTCCCGTCGAATAAGCGACGGCTGCAGACTTTCCCTGCGGCAGCAACGGGTGTTTCCTCAAATAAAACTTTTGGGTCTACCTCCTCTTCGGAGGGGTTGGTTACGGGATCGTCTGCGCTCCCGTTTCTCAAGTCTATTGCGATCATCTAGTCCTGGTCTTTATTTATGAAACAAAGCCTTAGGAAGGCCTAGATGCCTGTTGAAAAGAGGCAGCATCCAACTACTATGCCTCATTTGTGAGTTATACTGCGTATGGTGCGCAGCTCTCAGCCAACAACCTAGCCAGTTTCTCAAATAAGAATTGCAAGTTGCGAGGTTGGGTGTAGCCTCCAAGATGCCATTTTAGGCACACGTAGATGGGTCGGCAATTTTGGTTCGGATTCTCCGACGTAGTTGCATTCCCCATCATTGCAACATATTCTCTAGATAACTGCTGTGAGAACCAATCTGCCCTATTATCACAACGGAACTCTAACCTTTGAAAACCTGAATTGCGGGAGTCGATAGAGCAATCAGGGTGCCTGCGTACTAAAGTCAAAAACTGGCGCCCCCGGGTGGGCTCGAACCACCAACCTTCCGGTTAACAGCCGAACGCGCTAACCGATTGCGCCACGGAGGCCACGGCTCGCCACGCCCTTCTTTCTCTATGTGATTTAAACCCAGCCTTGCGTACGTGAGCGCAAACTGGTGGCTAGGAGGCGGATGATACTATAATGTAGTGTTGTGGGGGGGGGAGGGGGAGTGCGAAGACCCCACAAAATGATCTCTTGGATTGCAATTTTGACGGGTTGATATGACGACTACCATTGTCGTGCCGGAGAATCAGGTGACCCCGAAAATAGGCAGTCATTTTTGCTAGGCAGATTCATTTAAGTCATGCAATTGGGCTGCGCATCAGGGGTGTCCGTTCACCACGTGGGGAGGCTCCACCATTTTGTTGCGGATTAAGGCTGTTCCACCCGCTCAACCACACGTAAATTAGATTGCCTAACTCGTGAAATGTGAAGATCGAAGTTTTAGGGGGTGGTTTAACACCAAGCTTTGAGGTTTTATGTTTTGGTCATTAAAATTGACTTGGTCACTCCTGGGATGTCAAAAGTATGGTCAGTTTCTCTAATATTGGCTGCGAGTTTGGATCTGGCCTCCTAGCTACCAATTTGTGCTCATGTAGGCAAGGCAGGGTTTGAATCACATAGAGAAAAAAAAGTGTGGTGGACCGTGGTCTCCGTGGCGCAATCGGTTAACGCGTTCGGCTGTTACCCGAAAGGTTGGTGGTTCGAGTCCGTCCGGGGGCGCGCCAGTTTTTGACTTCAGTACGCAGGCGCCCTGATTGCTCTATCGACTCCCACAATTCAGGTTTACAAAGGTTAGAGTCCCGTTGTGATAATCTGGCAGATTGCTTTCTACGGTAGTTGTATACCAGAAGTTTGAAATGTATTTCCGATCCAGAAAGAAGTGCTGCAGTACAATTCTACTAATTCTATTTCACGCAGCCTAGTCTCAAGGACGCTGACTTTTGAATGTGTCTCTTTCTAGCAGCCTGCACAAACTATATGCTGTATTGAAATACGGGTATCCCAAGATATAAAGTTATGAAGATAAAGGCTTCTTTGGAAAGATTGAAACTTTATTGTGTAAATTTTCGAGGCAGGTTCCCCCGCTCGTCTTCAGACGGGAAAAAATGCGCAACAAACAATTAAAATTCTAAACGTCCAGAAAAATCAATATTCAACATTCAAATCAATATTCAATCATTCTGTAAATAAGCACCTCCTAAGTCGTATGCATTTTTCGAGGCCCTTACAAATAAAATATCTTCTTTCCAGAAAACCTCCATGAAAATATCCTTTCTTGTACTGCATTAGTAACAAATTAGCTTGCTCTGAAAGTGGTACTTGAAGAGAACGTATCTTGCGGTTTTAAAACAAACTTTTACAATTCCAGCATAATGTTGATCCCAGTTTGTCTTTGCCGGTGCTGTATATAGTTCGTGTAAGCAAAATCATCCATTTATCTTCGCTGCAAACAGGACGCCATACAGTGTTCGTAAAATGCTACATTGGATACGAATCATGTTGAATACATTGTAAGCAACGATGGCAACTGAACAGATACGATTCCTTATGAAGGGTCTTCAAAAATCTCCTAATTAGAACTTTTTCAAAACTACAAGATACACTTTCTTCACATTTAACAGTTCAAACAGAAACAACTGCTAAGTTGTGAAAATGCCCAGTAGATAATTCAGAACAGAATTTGGCGAGTGTAAACTTTCGGTAAATTCTCCTCAGGCCATACATTTACATGGGAGTGCACTGATCCGCGCTCTGATTGGCTCCCGCTTGGAGGGAAAGACGATCGATCGATTCTTTAAATTTAAACCTCCCATGTAAATGTATGGCCTGAGGAGAATTTACCGAAAGTTAACGCTCGCCAGATGCTGTTCAGAAACAATCTGCTAACAACTGAGTATAAGAATGGATGGCTTGCATGCATGTTTTCTATAAAATGCATTAGAAGTTAAAAGAAAATCGAAACTAAATGGGGAAAATGCATACTACTTATGTAGTCGTTTTTTGCAGTTTTTTGTTTTTGTGGACCGCTGAAAGGGCACTTATCCAGAAGCCGGCATTCAGAAATATCTTGGAATTAAGCTACAAATTATCAAATGTCGCAATTAGGATTCTGTACGATTTTTAGAATAGAATAGACATTTCAGAATTTTAGTTGACATTTGCTGAAATAGACAGTTTCATTAGTTTGTGTCAGGCCAACAAAATATACAGTGCCTGCGCTCCAAGCACTTGACATTTTCTCTGGACTTCAAGGGGGGTCCGCTAATGCAAACGAAATATGACCCCTGGTTTGGTAGAACCCTGCCTTGAAAATATGCATTCGGATGGTTCATATCGAAGCCGGCCGATCATCCGCAGAGGGGCGTCTTCAGTTTCAAACATGCCCTATTTTTGACTTTGGCGAACAACTCAGAAGGAGAAGATGCGATCGCTGGAACAAGTCGTTTCTTGGCCTGCGCACCGCATGCCTCTGTGCATGTCTCTGATGATAGCTTCGAGCGAGAAGCCGAAACGTCAGGTCAATACATTTTCTGTTCCAGCGATCGGATCTTCTTCTAATCTGCTTTTCGCTAGCTCGCTTCTATCAGCAGTTGGGCGACCTTTTTTCAGGTTGCAGGTCCTCTCTACAGAAATAAAGTTTGAAAACACAGAAAAACTCCAAAAAGTCGTCGGAATTTATGTGTAAATCTGTAAGTTATTGTACAATATGTTTACAACATGTTTACAATATTTTGACTAAGGAAAACTTATTTTGGCATAAAAATACTGGTAAGGTTATTTATTCAACTTAGGAAAAGATTTAAACTTATTGTTCTAATTTATAGCCAGTTTCTACGTCTGAGGAACTTGAGGGTTATTTTGAAAATTTTATTTTTCTTGACAAACAATTAGCATATTTTGTAAATTTTTAGCTGAAAAATTTGCCTCAGGTTGTCCACTTTTTTCTGGGTTTTCGTACGTACGTTACTGTCGGTTTTGCGAGTGGTAAGCAACCATTCGCAAACTTCGGAATTTTGCACAACTTCTCCGCCGCACTGTAGATGCCTTTATCTGTGCTCACGGGTACCACTGTGTCATGCAGTTATGAAGCGTTGATAAAAAAAATCTGCACATACGGTACAAGTCTTTGACAGTTTTTTCGTCATCAAAGAGTAAACCGGGATGGTTTGGTTCAAAGATAATAAATTTACTTTTTTTAATTGAACTATTTACGCTGGTTTGTTGAACCCTATCTTGAAAATATGCATTCGGACGGTCCACAGCTGATTATCTGCAGCGGTGTGTCTTCGATTTCAACAATGCGCCTTTTTTGACCGTCGCGAACTAATATTGGACGACTCAGAAGGAGAAGATGCAATCACTGGAACCAAAACTTTATTATCCTGCGCAATCAGTGCCCCTAACACCCCTGTTCTGCGCTTGTCTCTGATGATGACTTCGAGAGAGAATCCAAAACGTCAGGTCAATACAGTTCGTGTTCCAGTAATCGCATCTTCTCCTTCTAAACTGCCTCTCGCCTGTTTGCTTCTATCAGCAATTAGACGACTTTTTTCAGTTTGAGGGTCTCCTCCACAGACGGCACACATTTCACCAACGATTTTGAAACCCTGCCTAAAGGCTCAAACAAGAGGGTGCGGAGAATGCCCCATTTTATCTCAAATGGAAAAACAGCATTATTTAATTCTAGCCACCGTGAACAGCAGTGGCATTTGGCCTTCAAGAACAGAACAAAACTGCTTTTGAATAATATGTAAAAATATACAAATACCGCAGTGACCTACTAGACAACCGAATACTTTTAACTGCAATTAGCTAAGGTGTGCAATTTCATTAAGAATTACCTCGGCGTATTGCTTCACCGTGTCGCTGTATTATAAGATGAGCTAAAAAGCCTAAGAAAAACCGGCAACTGAGGATATCATTCGAAGGATACGTTTAAGCAAGATGTTTTCTTTTAAGGAAGACTGGAAAAACAAGTGGAGAGCAGTAGAGCATGAGGGGAAGAATCCAGGTACACATTTAACCAAACATTTTGAAGCCCTGCCTGAGGGCGCAAAGAAGAGGCTGTGGAGAATGCCCCATTTTTTCTCAAATGTAAGCAGCATTATCTAATTCTAGCCACGGTGAAAAACAGTGGCATATGGCCTTCAAGAACAGAACAAAACTGCTTTCGAATAAGATGTAACGCCGGCATACGTTTAAAAATATACAAATACAGTAGTTGCCGGCTATTAAGCCCACGGCTAATAAGCCCAGCCGCCTAT